ACTAATGTACGACGCTTTTGGGAATGACATTGAGGAGCAGCGACATCACGACAACCGGGATTATGCTAACTGGAGGGCCTTCAGGAAGATGTTTCCGCATGCAGACGCTAGTAAGTTTGAGCGCAGACCCGATGGGATTTACTTTAACGGCGAAAGAATGTACAGCAATGCGGACTTGGAGCCAAAGCCGACTGCAAAGGCGACTGCGAAGGCGACCGCCAAGCATCCTAAGACGTTAGAAAGGCAACCTAATTTTCCAGAGAATCTATTACCGGCAACCCAGAATTACCCMTTTTACGACATTAAAGGCGGAGCGGATGACTTTGCTAAAATGGTTACCTCCTTAGAAATCCCCGTGGGTCCTACCACCTTCAAGAAAAAAGTCAGAGACATCTTCAGAGAAACTGCCATGAAACATAACTCAGGGAAAGAMTCCAGAGAATGGTTATCAGGTCCCAACATGCGGTATTGGCCGCAGCAGTTAAGCTTTGCTGTCTGGGCTGCTACCAAAGGATGTGGCATAGCCGCGGACATGTTCCATATTCCTTTCCTAAGATTSCACGTTGCTTTTACTATTCGTAGGATATTGTTTGAGTTAGGAGCGCCGCTTCCTGGTGACACTGTCTTTAACCCAAAGGATAACAAATATGACAAAGTCGCATGCGAGCGATTAAGGAATGAGTTTAAGCTTACCAWCCCTGATTTTCGCAACAAAGAGGGTGCCGCCCATGGTTTAGGAGAAACTTACACCTATGCTTCGTATGTTGGTGCCACCATAGAAACGCCGGGCATGGGATATCCTAGCTCTTACGAATTCTCAGACTTAGGAGGCAGCGGAACAAAGGGTAATCTAATCTACTTTATTCAAAGCAAAGAGAAGTATCCTTGGSCGCCTTTCTTTGCCGCAAAGGGCATTGGACTGAAAAACCTAGCAAGGATTAACCGCAGCATTGAAGCCTTCGTTTACTGCATTCTAGGAGCACAGGTTAGCACTCGCAGCCCCATCGTAGATGCCAGTG